CACCGATAATATCAGTTCAAAATTCCATGTTTGTCATCGAAGTTGAAAATTTTCTAACATCGCTAAATTCACGATATGTCGATTTCAATTTCAAGTATATTTTCAACAGTGGTTTTACTGGAACTATCAGACCTGCTTTGGACTCAACTTACCCATTATTACCCCATTGTAAAATTATAACCGCACCACATATTGCCAAGCTTTAACTGCAGTGGTTGGAATTGAAAAATTTTAATTTTCCTTTAAATTGAACTATGTAGGACTTAGTAAATTGTAAAACAGCTTAAACTAGGCTAATAAAGTTATAGTTTAAAAAACTAAAAACTCGCTCTTATTACAATGTGAACTAAAAAGTGAAAAATAATTTATACAAATACAAACTTCGTTTAAGAGGATAGGAAGTTCCCTGACCTGATTTGATTGAATTTTTAGAAACAAGCTAAAATATGTGGGGTGCTTGATATCAATTGTTTTGAACTTTTCATTCTCAGTTTAGTAATCTTATAAATATTATATTTAAATGTGAAAGTTTGTATGTTTGGATGTTTGGGAAATCATCACGCGGAAACGACTACACGCATTTGCATGAAATTTTGTACGCAGATAGCTTATGGACCAGATTGGCTAATAGGCTAATTTTTAAGAGTTGCCACCTGTTAAAAAAGTTTCATTTATTTAATATGCGGGAACGACTGAATGGATTTGCATGAAAATTTGCACACGGATAGCTTATAACCTAGATTGGAAAATAGGCTACTTTTCTTAAGAGTTGCCACCTGCTTGAAAATGAAATTTTGCTCAAAGATGGTTTATGACCTGGATTAAAAAATATGCTACTTCCTTAACCGGTGTTCCGATCAGAGCGAAATTTAATACACTTACTACGGATTTCGGAAGGATGGTCTTAGACTGAAAGCAAGTCCGATAACTCAAGGCCCCTAGCATACAAATTGGAATTTTCATATTACATACATATCTCTCGAAGTATTTGTGGGAGAGAACTGAAACTTGGTATAGTGATATGTATGTGAAATCAATGTTGCCATTAATCGATTGATGTTTTAATTAGTTAGTTAATTNAAATAGGCTACTTCCTTAACCGGTTTTCCGATCAGAACGGAATTTAGTACACTTACTACGGATTTCGGAAGGATGGTCTTAGACTGAAAGCAAGTCCGATAACTCAAGGCCCCTCCCATACAAATTGGAATTTTCATATTACATACATATCTCTGGAAGTATTTGTGGGAGAGAACTGAAACTTGGTATAGTGATATGTATGTGAAATCAATGTTGGCATTAATCGATTGATGTTTTAATTAGTTAGTTAATTCGATTAAATTCAATCTGATTACAGTTAATCATGATTAATTTTAATCCGACTAAACAGTTAATGGTAACCGCGATTAAAAAATTATTTTTTAATCATTAATTCTTAATTTGATCAAGTAATTTTGGTGATTATTGGTTATGCTGGAATTTCCCTGTGCACACAAAGCAAGTTAATCCGGTATGGCTAAGTCGGGTTTCCTCATCAATCTAAGCAATTTGGTGTGCATTTTCATTAAGATATATACCAACAAACGTTTTACAAACTAGGTTTGTAAAAGTTCCCAGTTTATGTATTACTAATAACAATAATTATTATTTTTTTATATTACGTGCTTTTTATAAGCGTAAAACACAAAATAATTACTATAACTGGTGTTTGGTTTCAAACTCGGACAAACTAGACAAATTAATCAGATTTTATTTTTAATTGGATTAACGATTAATGTTTTAAATTAATTAAACGTAATCGCAGCCAGCGATTAACGATTAAAAAAATGTTATCATTAATCGTACAGTTGATTACGACTAATTAATTTTAATCGTCAAACGCGATTAACATTTTAATCGTTAATTTTTAATCGTTAATCAGATTAACAGTTTGCCAACACTGTGTGAAATCATGTTCATATTCACGGAGAAAAATGGACGTTTTTGGAAAAGAGGCGTAGCACCTCCCATACTGACTGAAAGTTTCATATTGCATATCTCTTCAAATGTTTGGGGTAAAGCACTCAAGCTTGGTATGGAAATACATATGTATGCATGTATGTATGTGAAACTAATACCATACTCATGGAGAAAAATGAGAGTTATTGGAAAAGGTGGTGTGGCAACTCCCATGCAAATTGATTTTTCTATGCTGCATATCTCTGGAGGTGTTTATTGCAGAGGACTGGAACTTGGCACCGAGATGTGTATACAAAATTAATTCCATACTCAAAGAGAAGAATTTGCGTTATTCGAAAAGGGGACATGGTTCCTGCCGTACAAATCTTACTTACTCTTACTGTTTATCTCTAGAGGTGTTCATGGTAGAGTACTGGGACTTGGTACTGGGGTATGTAAAATCAATTCTAAATTCATGGAAGAAGATTAGTTTTATAAGAAAAAGGGGCGTGGCACTTCCAGTACAAATTTACTTTTTCTTGCCACATATCCCTGTTTGTGGAAGACAGAATAAATTTCATTAAATGGAAAAGGGAGAGCCGGGTTCGGCCTTATAATCTAAAGCTCTCTTGAGGCATTTGATACAGTAATGAGAAGTGGTATTTTATGAAGGCCAGGTTAATAAATTTGAGTTGGAAATATTAGAACTCGCCGTGGCACCTCCAAGAAGGTTACACGTTCACGCGTCGTATACCTGGAAACATTTTAAGATGAACTTAGAGGGATCGATATATTTCGTATGCCTAGCGCGCAGACGAGATTTTATAATTTAATAGTTTTAAACGGCCTAAATACCTTGACTCGCTTAAAAAATAACGAGCTATAACGAAATGGGCACAGAAATAAAATCTAACATCATTAAATTATTTTTCCTATTTGTATAAAAGCGCGGGGTGAAACCCGCGGGTATAAGCTAGTATTGAATATTTTCAATAGCAGGACTACAAACTCTAAGAAACACCGCAAGCTTCGTTTTCCGGTAAAATTAATTTTATTGTCAATTACTTTAATCATATTTTTGGTTGGTTTAAAAAGTTTAATTAAATCAAGTTAGGGAACTTTTTATTCCTCTTAAATGAAATCTATATTTCTATAAATTATTTTTCACTCTTTAGTTCACATTGTAAAAAAGCGAGTTTTTAGTTTTTTTTTTTAACCTATAATTTTATTTACATGCGAAATCAATCTTTGGAATTTTCATTTGTACCGTCATCAGGTAACTTTAAAATGGAAATTTTCAGCTCTATTCCCACGCCAATGACAAAACTCAGCGGCTGACTATTGTCTTTACTACTACGCCTAATACTATGCCGCAAATTTGTTTTAAGCTCTCTAAGGGTGACAATTGTCACTGTTATTTTTATGACCTACTAAGTACGCGACAACGGCGAAAGAATGCTTATAATGTGTTTTACGTGCAGTAATGGACACAACAGTCCTACTATTAATTGTGTCAGTGTTGTGGGAATAGGGCTGTTAAATCAATTCCCATATGTACGGTCAAGAGGCTTGTAACTTGGTAATGGAAATTTTGTTGCAACTTTTAGCCACACCATTATTACATAGTTACACCCCAAGCTAATAAAAGCGAGGCAAAAAATTAAACAAATAAATTAAAGACTACAATCTTACTAACTCTGCGTCTTTTCCGTTATTATGGGCATTTTGTTTTAATTTTTTCCGCAAGACGTCAAATTGTTGTCGGCATACGTCAAATCATTGTCATGAAAATAGCCCAGACAGTTTTTCAGATAATTGAAGAAGTGCGCATGTATTGCCGCTGTTATCACAGCATTGCCAGGTGTAAACCGCGTGTTACTGAAATGGCAATAATTGTTACTTGTTGTGCTTAAAGACGCTAAAAGCGAAAAGAGTTTTCGATTGTTAGAGTGTGAAGACAAAGCAGGACCATACTCTTTTTTCCTTCCTGATCTTTTCTTCAGCATTTCTAGTTCAACATAAAGCCCAAGTGCTATTTGACTACCTCCACGAGGTTCTGTGTAACACCATTTTTCGATGGTAACTGGACTTTGAGGAATTTCGTATTTAACGGCCTGTTGACTAAGTTCCTACATTTACTAAGGCCTTCTGACTTTGGTCACTTAGAACTTGAGAATGAATCCGCCCTAGCTATGAGCTCACATCCTGTGCCATCTAATCAGAGTAACAGACTATTTATTGTTACATTCCGTAGAAGTGAGGAGATTTCTCCGCCGTGCGGAAAGTCCTAATTGGAACAAGGTTTTAACAACATTGGGAACATTGGCACTTTTAATATCTAGAAAACAAATAAGGCTAGTTATTTTGCAGCTTGGACTTGGTTTATTTTAGTGACGCTATGGCGGAGCACTGTTTCCACAGGTTTAGCTTTATAATAGGCATGCTGGGGCTCTAATAGCATAATTCGCTCTATCTTTTGACGGTTGTTCATATCAATTAATAGTTCAAAAATCATCGGGTTTCACGTAAAAGTACTTTCCTCCTTTTGAAATGAAGACCACTTTCGCCTTGCTTTGGGAATATAAGCCAGGTCAAGACGAGTCTTATAGATGAACGTAGTAATGGACATAAAATGTCTTATGCTTCTTGACCTTGGCGGGTTAGATGTCAACTGTGTAAACCCAGTAACTTATACAGTTAAAAGGATTTGTAGATACATACATATATTCTTATTTCAGCGTATGATGTTCTCCGGGAGGGAAATGTTTCTAAACTGCAGTGGAAAATAATACAGCTGTATCTGGAGAAACACTGGCTTACCCATTTGCAAAAGTTAAACCGACTTAAACCCGAAAAAGAAACGAAAGAAAAGAAATAATAAAACTTTCCAAGCCTAAGTTCCTCAAGAAAATTAAGTTTATTACGATGAAATTCTAGGCTCTCCTAGTCTGCCATATTTTGAAAACTACAACGTTCAAATAAAAAACAACACTTAATTAACCTATATTTTTATTAGCTATCATTAATCTCGTCCTCGCTTCTCTTTCATTATCACTAAATAGCTCACCAATTATCAAATTGCCGGCGCTATCTTATTTTTGATGGCACACTTTTCCACCACCTCCAGCACACCACTGCCCACAATCGAAGCTCTAGGGCCAGTTGATGCATTGGACTACGCACAACAACCAAACGAAGTGTTGCCAATTCATCCATTACTACTATATCCGATGTCACGGAATTTACAACTGCAGGGACGGGAGCTTGATGATGAGGACAATAACGTAATTTATGTGAAACTATTGAAGCGTAAAGCCTACCACCCAACAAAGCTGCCGCACACCAATGCATTATATGAAGGAAGCAATGTGCCGCGTGAGCTCACCATGAAGGACATTTTCTATGTGAAAGCGCTAGTCAATGGTCAATTTAGTCATCAACGTCTCAAATTATATCGACTACCGGAATTCTATGCGATAAGCGTATTCCACAAGGGAGCAAAACTGTGAAAAGCTGCAAACCAACATACTCGTACATATGTACATACATATATATGTATGTCATCATCATAGTAAATTAAAAATTAATTATAAGCTATATTTCAATGAAACATCTTCAGCTCATTTGTTGAATTTTTATTTTGTAGTGAATTAGAGTTAAGTGCTTATGACTTAAGTATTATTGTGGCTTATTGTGATTGATTTCTTAATTGTTGTTGCGTAGATATACAAATACGGGTACACATACATACCTATAAAACAACAATTGTGTCATTTCATAGACCATGGGTTTAATGAGTTGTGCGGAAAGGTGGGTGTGTTAATTGATAATCGTAATGAAGCCATCAGTCTTCGTGGAGTGAGTGGAAGTAGCCATCGAGTGGACGATGAGTGGCCACAGCCAGGCTTACAAATTTCATTATTTACGTAAATTTTACGCAATGGCCGTAATTGTAAGTGGCTATCAATGAGGTGTAATTAAGCATATTTATTTCGACAACATAATACGGTATTTGTGTAAGTATGTACCGACAAACCAATATATGGCTACCAAAATTGATAATGCTGCCTGCTTCTGTACGTACAAATTAACAACGAAAACAATTAGCTGAACATTAATTTGTTGGGCTTAATTTTTTTGTCATTTTGCTTTCAGCTTCTACCTTTTTTGTTTGTTTTGTTTTTTGTCCATTCATGGTTTCTTTGTTTCCGCTACTTTGTGCGCCGCAGTGTTCCAGCAGCAACGTTGTCAGGTGTTAACAGTAGCCCAATTAATTTATTATTATATGTTTAATTAGCAATTAGTCCTATTATGTGTGTGGAGATGTGGAGGCTACTTTGGGTTGTATGTCGCGAGCTATAACAATTTGTCCGTGGCTTTTGCAGTGATTTATGCTAATTTTTTGCAAGGTTTTGGTGTACTTAATTAATTCAGCGTAGACCGAAAACGGAAGAAGAGGAAGTGGAAAAGTAATAGATTTGAACATACCAGTTTTGGGTTAAATTCTAAAGTTTACAAGAAATCAAATGCTTCTTAAAAATGCCACATTCATTCGGTCACCTAGATAGGCAGCAACTAAGGCTGGGAGTTCTATCCGGATCTTTTTAATATCCGGATAATCCGAATTGTCGAATTTCTGACTAAAAACTCGAAAAGATTACCAAAAAGTTACCAAAAGTATTAAAAGCCCTCTTTCTTTTGACATTAACAATCGGCGTTACTTACACCTTCGAGATTGTATTAAAGTTGCCTAGAAGTTTACATAGGAATATACTTACATGATTTCTGTACCATGTTTCTGTTCATGAATAAATGTCAAAATGACACTGAAGATGGCACAACGCCGAAACCGGTTTGTCTCCAAACCAAATTTGACAAGGGATGACGGAAAATCGTTCCACATTACATCAAATGAAATTGCGATTAAATGGAAATCTTAAAGCGTACAAGTGAACTAAGAAAAATTTATTACTGTAACTGTTTCATGAAGCGAAAAAAGAAATACATATTTTAAAGGAATTAATTTCTAAAATTGTTGGAAGTTACAATTTAATGCATATGCATTAAACACATATAATACGACGAATAATGATTAATCAATAAACTGTGTCAGTATAACACTTTGTGAGGACTTTTCGTACGTTTTAAATTTTACACTTTTGAATGTAAACAAAAATTATATCAGCTGTTCGTCTAACTTGCAAGTTTCTGCAAATTTTCTGTTCGCGTAGTTTTGGATATTTCTCTCTTGTGAGAGAACAGATAACATTCCGCCGGAATTTGGCAGTTGGTTGGTTTTTACTGGAGATTTTAAACGAACGCACCTATTATCCATGATAGCAACCATGGACGCGCCTATTACTTTGTTTATATGGCATCAAACTCGGTATCGAATTAACTCGTGTCAGTGTAGCTCGCTTGAAATGCAAGTGTTTATATGCAACTAAAGAAATGAGCCGATCGAACACGCTTTCAAACCCTCATTTCTTGAAAATAATAAACATGGAAAAATAATAATTAAAGACCCAAGCAGCCATGAAAAAGGATATTAGCTATTAATTTTGTTAGAAAGTTTAGTCTAAATGTAATTTCAAGAACTATTTAAATGTTTTACTTCATACGGAGTTGCATGAAACAAGCTTAACACGATTCAACAACTCGTTAACTCGCATTAAAAATGTGATTTATGGTGGCACGGTTAAAAGTTTCAATTCGATTTAAGAATGTGTTTACATGTGTGTTTCCAAATAACATGGTTGAACTTAGAACGAATTGAAGCATCATATAAACATGGTATATGTCAGCTTCTAGTTGAATTGTTGAACCGGTGACAGGTAATAAGGTCAATGGAAATAAGGTCAATTGACTTTATTTCCCACCCTGGTGCGAAATAAAGTCAATTGACATTATTACCTTTTCAAAAGCGAAATAAAGTCAACAAAAATTTGGAAATAAAGTCATTGACGCTATTTCCTCATTCAAATGGAAATAGCGTCAACAATGCTTAAAGTATGTCGATTCA